CCTGGGAGAAAGGTGGAGTTGACATGTTCCCATGACAAGAGAATTTGGAAAGTAAAAGATTATTGTTCAATCCTTCTCAAAACTCTTTGAATTTTACAGGAAATCACAGGAGAAACCTCAAGTTTAATTATAGTGAAGGCATTTCAGGATCTCTCACAGTTGATAAGGGCAATATCTAAAACATTGGAACTTTCCAGGTGCCACCAAGTCACATCACTCACAGCATTACCTATTTTCTTTTCTTTTTCTTTTCTTTTTTTTTTTTTTTTGTTTTTTTTTTTTTTTGAGTCAGAGTCTCATTCTGTTGCCCAGGCTGGAGTGCAGTGGCTTGTTCATAGTCACCCCAGCGTCGACCTGCTGGGCTCAAGTGATCCTTCCGCCTCAGTCTTCCAAGTAGCTGGAATTACAAGTGTGTGCTACCATGCTCAGCTCATTTTTTTGTTGTTGTTGATATATTGTAGAAGTGAGGTCTTGCCAAGTTGCCCAGGCTGGTCTCAAACCCCTGGGCTCAGGCAATCCTCTCATCTCAGCCTCCCAAAGTACTGGGATTACAGACTTGAGCCACCATGCTTGGTCACCTATTTTAATAAATTTACATGTCATCATACAAAATCAGGTAATGTCTGTTAAGTATTCCCCCTTACCTTATTTAATCATTGGGTCACATTATGGACTGAATTGTGCCCATTTTTCAAAAATTCATATGTTGAAGTCCTAACCCCGTATGTGACTGTATTTGGAGACAGGGCCTTTGGGAGGTAATTAAAAGTCAAATGAATTCCTAAGGACAAAGTTCTTATTTGGTAGAACTCTGACCTTATAAGAAAAGGGAGAGACTGGGCACAGTGGTTCATACCTATAAACCCAGCATTTTGGGAGGCCGAGGCAGGAGGATTGCCTGAGCCCAGGAGTTCGATACCAGCCTGGGCAACATGATGAGATCTTGTCCCTACAATAACTCAAAATATTAGCTGGGCATGGTGTCATGTGCCTGTGGTCCCAGCTATTTAGAAGGGTGAGGAGGAAGGACAGCCTAAACCCAGCAGGTCGAGGTTGCAATAGCTGTAATCGTGCCATTGCACTTCAGCCTATGTGACAGAGGGAGACTTTAACTCAAAAAAAAAAAAAAAAAAAAAAAAAAAAGGAATGTGGTCACAAGGACAAGGCAGCAATCAGCAAGCCAAGAAGAGAACCCTCACCAGGAAATGAATAAACTGGCAACTTAATCTTGAACTTCTCAGCCTCTCACAGAAACAAACTTCTGATGTTTAAGTGCCCCAATATGTGGTATGTTTTTACAGCAGCCTGGACTATTTCAGGTCAGTTTGATTCAAGCAGCATTTGAATGCTCACTACCTGTTATACATTCTGGGAAAAATTAATATCAGTGATATGATTTAAAGAACAATGATGCTGGGCTCGGTGGCTCAGCCTGTAATCCCGCGCCTTTGGGAGGCTGAGGTGAGTGGATTGCCTGAGCCCGCGAGTTCGAGACCCGCCTGGGCAGTGAGACCTCATCTCTACAATAAATGAAAAAATCAGCCGGGAGTGGTAGCGCATGCCTGTAATTCCAGCTACTCAGAAGGCTGAGGCGGAAGGATCGCCGGAGCACAGCAGGTCGAGGCTGCGGTGGCCAGGAGCAGCCACTGCACTCCAGTCTGGGTGACAGAGTGAGACTCCAACTCAAAAAAAAAAACAATGAGGCATTCTTCATAAAAACAGACAATACCAATTTCACATATACAAAGGGTTTCTGATACTTCATTAATAACTTATATGTGTGGAGCAGTTCTCTGAAAGTTGATTGTAACCCAGGCCCTAAGAGAGACCTGAGAGAAGTCAGTTGATTCAGACATGTTTCAGGGACAAGTTGAGATGACCTTGAATGAAAAAATAAATAATTTTTGGGCAGTTTCCCAGATCTTCTAAGAATAAGCTTGCATCGAGAAGCTTTGTTTTTATTAGCGTGCACACGACACATTAACACACACACACACACACACACACACACACACACACACACACACTTATATAAAGTGAATTCTCAGAACATGGGATACATTTACATTTATTTTAAAAAAGTAAATAATTAAAAGACAAACTAATGTTTTTTCTCAAATTATCTCTGTGTTTTTAAATAACATTAAATGTCTTCTCATCTATTAGTGTGAATTGCTAAGACTTGGTTGTTCTTATTAAAGTACAGAAGTAAAATTTAGAAAAAGCATAAAATGCTAATTGGCTTTAAAGACCTTCAGAAGATGTCATGTAAAAAATAAAACTGCTGAGAATGAACTCAATTCAATTAAGCAATATGTATGACTGGACAAACATGAGCTAACTTAGCAGTTACCTCGAGGTAGTAAAATTAAGGGTAATTTTTATTTTCTTCATTTTCTTTTACTCTGTTTTCCAAATATCCTAACTGCATATTTTCTAAGAATCACACAAAATAAATATGATTAAAATCTCTCTGATCTTTTTAGCCCATTTTAATGGCATCTGAGTTGGACTATGCCAACTCTGGTGCCATTAAACTCATATATTCCCTCCTAGGACCATATGAGGGCTTTCTTACTGATATTCAGGTGACCTGGTAGGGCACATATCAGTAAGGGACTTGACTTTGAGTTGCACCTCTCAAATGTAGCTGCCAGTGAATAGGGTCTCATGCGGCCCCCTGGGTGACCTCACTCATTGTCAAACGTGAAAGAAAGCAGGCATTAAATAATAGAGATGATGAATACTTTTAAAACCAATATGTTAGTCATGGCTGATCTTTCCAGGTTTCTTAAGACAAAATTCCATTCATATTATCATAATGTAAGCTTAAGTAATAATTAAATGCAACACAAAATATTTGCCTTAACAATTAACTTAATATACCTGAGTAAAATTGCTATTTGTTTTCCCAATAAAATACAATGTGTTTTACAAAACTAACACTCATATTTAAAAATACAAACATAAGACAAAACACTAGACAATGTGAATTTGAATTTTACTCTTATGCTAAAAGTTCTTACTTCTTCCGTTTAAGAAAAATTGATATTTGAATGTTTTAAACATAAAAGCTTTGCAAATCCTGACATTAAATAAGGAAGAAGGGGGGATAATTATAGATAAAACAGTTGGAAAATGTACTTAAAATAGCTTATTTCCTAAGTACAATTTTGCTTTGTTTTATATTATATTTTCATTTTGAAAAAGAGAAATACAGTTTTCCTCAACTACAGAAAAATTCACTCCAACTCAAATTCAGATGTTGTTTTAAATAACATTGACTGAGACATAATATATAAGTGATGCTTTTAGTGTTTTCACATACGTGATCCTTCTTTGTAGAACTTACTCTTATGGAATAATCAGTGGATCAGCAAAGTGCCCTACTGTTAGTATAAAATTTGTTTTATTTTTATGATGATTATATGAAACTCATCATAGCTTACAAACTATTAAAACCTACAAGGAAAAACTTTATACATATTTCTGTTTTTTTAAAGAAATAGTAAATATGTAAAATGGAAAATACAAGACAACCTATCCAATTTTGGATAGGTTGCACAAACGTATCTAATTATAGTTACTTAAACATTTAAGTAAGAATATTTTTTTCTGAGGAACGAAATCACGAAAACCAAATCTTTCAAAATCACCAAGTCTTGAAAATAGATTATGAAGCAGAATTTCTGGAAGGTGCTTAATGATATCAGGCAACATTTAAATGCCACCTAGTGAGGAACACTGAAATTGCAGCTGGATTAAAATTATGTTGCTTGGGAAAAAAATTTTTCCATGATTTTGCTGTTTTGAAACAATTATTTGAAGTTATTATTTTTCCAGGCAATGAGGAAATATAGCCTAGGTCACATAAACAAACTGAATATTTCTCCAAGGAGAGGATTTCATTCCCTGACCCAGTTTATGTGACATTTTCTCTCACCCTCTCTTTCTCTGAGCTAGAAAATGAGGCACTGTTTCTCCTTGTATTGACCTAGATTGTAACTTGTTTTAATTGATTCAGAGTTAATTGAGATATTTTCTATAGTGTCATGGCTTCATTTACACGAAACCTAGGCACGCTCTCTCCTCACATTCTGTTCTGGATGTGGCTTCCAGAATGTTTTTAATATATTGTGCCAGTCCAGTATGCCAGCACTTATCAGAGACATGGGGACAGTCAGCTACTTTACTCATTTTGTGTGTGTGTGTGGATAGCCTCATGTGGCCTGAATAATAGGTTGGCAAGGCAATGTGAACACTGTCCTTATGTCAACTATTGTGAAATGTAAAATGTATCTTGGTTTTGCTAAGAATCTTTGAAGAAAAACTCAACATAGATAATTAACCTACATTGAGTTAGTCACTGGATGCTGGGGCTGTGTCCTTTATATGTGTTATCTCCTTCTAGGTACTTACTGAAAACTTGTAAGATGATCATTTCTTGTTCTTGGAAACATCTACCAACTATTTCCATACTTCTGAGTAAAAAGTACAAGACTGTAATGGTATAAAGGCAGGAAAGGAAGGAGCATTACAGCAAGCAGAAATAATTGAGAGAGATATTTTGTCATGTTCACAGACGTAAGAACTGGCATTTGGATACTTAGCAGAAAATACCGACTCTGTCAAATGAACAAAACTGGAAAAAAATTTCAAAATTGAAATACAGGAGTCACAGTCAACATTACTTAAAAAGCATCAAATCTAAATTAGATATTGCCTATACAAATATCAAATGCATCTTGAATTGAATTTTAGGTCCTGTATATAGGTGGTTTATCTAAGTAATTTGTTGGTCGTTGTTTCTCTGTACTCCATGTTTAACTAAATCAAACTTCAAAATGGAAGTACTTTTTCAATAACAAGGTAATAAACCAGTTAAGTACAAGTAATGGTTTTGCATTATCTTTGAATTTTAGTTATCTACGTTATTTATGTGTTCAGTGACCACAAACAATCAAATTTCATGGGCAGCAGAAAATCTGACTTTTAGCCATTGTGAAATAACAACAGGACAGTATTGCAGACATTGACAGCTGCACTTGGAGTTTTCCTGCTAGTGGGCCAAGATCTTGTTCCGCTTCCTGTTTACCAATCCAGCTTCAGATCGGCCTTGCTCCATTCATATTTTCCTCCTCGCTTCAGAAACATCTTTTCATCGAATCCACTGAATTTTATAGCTTCTTCCACTCCAACATCCAGGATAGACTTGGAAGGATCCTTCCGCCCATTTCTACAGTTGAGAAAGCGCATCTGGAAAATTCAAAATTGAAGTTAGCACATTTCCCTTCATTTATCCTGTAAAACTCAACTTAGAGTTTTAATTTAAAATAACTTGATATTCCAATCATACCAATGTTCTTTGAAATCTGTGACCGATGCTACATTCCTTGGAGTCCATCTTTCTACTCAACCAAATCACGATCTAGTCAACTAAGTGCATAGTAAACAGAGGATATATACCTACATGAGTCACGTGTTCCTCCACTGGGGAATGAGAGGTAATGAAGACAAGCTTCCCCCAAATGTTGATGTCTGAATTATGTTTTGAAATTTTAAATTGGAGGGAACGGGATCATAAAAGCACAGAAGCATACAACAGTATGGTGTATTTGGGAGACTGCAGGTAGAGGGTATTTCTAAATGAAAACTGTGTGCATGAATGTACAAGTAGAAATATTAATAAAGGCTTCCCTGTAGAAGAGGAGAGAGAGAGTGATAAGAAGGGAGCTCCTGAGGCAGGTACCAGATCAAAAAGAGTCTTATATGCCCTGCTGAGTGTCTTTATTTATATCTTATTCCATCTGTTTTTATTTGTTTTACCCTACTGTATTCCACCTTGTATGCAGAAATGAGGTCTTCACATTTCTTATGCCCTACACTGAGCATTTTGTAGAAAATGAAGTAACACTTGTTGAAGCAAAATGTTATTACATTGGCAAAAGCAAATTTTGGTTCAACTATGTTTGTTCCGATGATGTAGAGACCAGATAGTTTGTTGAGAATTGCCGGTCAAAATCCCCAAGTCAACCATGATAATTTGCATTCCTAAAATAAATTGTTTAAATTTTCCCTTTAACTTTGGGCCCATAAACTGAACATTTTTGTTATCATCTATCCCCTTATGTTCCATAAAGAAAGCTCATATTGATAACAAAGGAAATGGCTATAAATCAGCATTGATGAACTTAAAAATAACAAAATACCAAAAGTGACAGCAAGCATTTTGCAAAAAATCAAATTCTATTTAAGTATTGAACTCAACTCAAGGTGATTGTTGTAGTTCATTTCTTTAAAAAAAAAAGTCTTTGGAATTTTTTGTCTTATGCTAGGAATAGTGCCAAAAGTTATAAATCTAGGGGAAAAAAAGAGGAAAAGGAAAAGCAATTTGTTTTCCAGTTTTGAGGAGGGTGGATTTTCCTTTTCCTTTGGAAGACAGAGAGGCTAAGAAAATATCCGTGGTGTCTGGAAAGGAATTGTAAGTCTCTCCTCAACAAAGCCAGGGTTTATCAGTCAGAGGACAAAGCTGGCTGTGTCTAGGTTGTCCAAGGTAATGTGAAATGTGATGTGACTTTCCTCCAAAGTAATCTGGGTGCCCATCTCAGGAAAACTTCCAGTCTCAGGCTGCATAACAGCTGACTCTGCTATGAGAGTGGATTCAGTGTGACATCCATGAATGCATAGCTATATGAAAGACAACATTGTATGGAGGTTAATGAAAATAAATGCAGGCACCTGGATTCAAGCTCAAGCTCATCGAAGCATTTAGCTCCACATTTGATTGCATGAAGTGAGGGTTCCATCATATAAGTAATAATTACTGACAATAAAACCACGACATACTAGCTAAGAAGGAGAAATATGTTCTAAATAGGTATATTCATGTAACTCAACTTTAGTATTGCTGCTTAACTGATTTTAAGAGATAATTTTATAACTCATGAGAAATACTCACGTATTCATCCAGGATAAGGTAGGAGTCTTTCATCTGCAAAGAAGAAATGACATATGAATTTAGTTTTAAGTGTCTTTTTCAGTATGTGAGCTCAACTGTCCATCTTACAATGTCTCTGTGTTCATGATTTATTATTCGGGATCCAACATTTCCGATTTTGCTTGAGTTGCCTTTCAGCATGACCTTTACAAGGTAAGGATCTGTTTGTGTGCTTTGTTTCCAACAGATTCCAGCAGACCTGGATTCTTTGCCCTTTGCTGAAGGCGTCAAACACCAGAACCTTCACCCTGCAAACTTCTCTGAGAGTAAAATCCCAGACAATTTTCCATCCCCTCGTGCTTTGGGGGAGCCCTTTTCTTTATTGCTCCATATTCCTTGTGACTGTATCCACCATTCATTGAATTTCCTCCTTAATCACGTGTAAAGCAGAACTGTCGTGATTGCTATTTGTTGGGAGCTGAAGGATGACTTTACCTGAGGATTTTAATATGAATCTAACATGATTTATAAATAGTCATGCCTTTCACAGGGATATAGAAGGTGTACCTATACTTCCTATGAGTAGAGATATCGTCTATACCAGCCCTTGTAGATAGGGGTCAGCAGACTTTTTCTGCAAAGAGCCAGATAGCAATACTGTCTCTGTCACAACTAATTAACTCTGCATCATAGCTCAAAAGCCACCACAGACAGTACGTAAGAAAATGGGTTTGGCGGAGTACCACTGAAACTTTATTTGTGGGCCCAGAAAATTGACGTTTCCATAATGTTCACTGGTCACAAATGTTATTCCTGTTTTGATGCTCTCTCCTATCAATGCTTAGCTTGCATCCTGTGCTAGAACAGGTGGCAGGCCATATCTGTCTCCCAGGCCATGGTTTTATTATTTTAGAAATAATAAAACCGTGCAGGGCCAGAAGCAGACCAGTTATTGGAAGTCTGAGGGGTGGGGAGACTGGAAGCATCAGTAGCATCTGAAAGCCAGTTCAAAGTGCAGAGTCAGAGCCGTGGGCCTGCCTCAGACGTGCTGAATCAGTCAGCCCTTTCACAAGATGAAGTGATTCGTTGATGTTTGAAACAAACCGGCTGGAAGATTCATGGACTTTAGGTTTATCAAAATCCTGGCTTCACCTCTGATACAAGTCAGATCAATGAATGCCTAATAGCCTCCTAGTAGTGTAGACAAGCTGATCCATGAAGCATTTGTAAACTTTGAGGTGAGCAAAAGAGTTAAAAGTCCCTCGTACAAAGAAGAGACTCAACAATACTGAAGTAACTTTTATTGTAACTACTATAATTTCGTTGCTCTCATATTAACTACATAATGAAGACAGTGAAAAAATCCAATAAAATAGTGCATAGATAAGAGAGGATTATACTTCCTCTCCCTTCTTTTTAAGGGTACCTTGTACCCCATTCTGGGATTTTCTTATTCATGCTCACTTCAACATGACCTTTTAAACTTAGTCGTTTATCTAGATTCTCAGAATTCTAAAGCATAAGGAATGAATTTCTGTTCTTGGAATTCCTAACATTGTATAAGCATATGGGGAGAGGTTTTTCTGTATGAGGATATTTTAGGGTGGCAGATGGGAGAAGCTGTTTTAAAAATACTTTCTAAAATAATAAAACTAATGCTTCTTTTACAAAATGTTAAAGTCCAAAAGGAAAAGATAAATAAAACTACTGATTATTTTAATGCTCCAGGATAACAATGGCAAGAAGTATGTATAGATGCAATTTTGTTTTGCATATCAGGATTAAACCTCAATGTAATTTTACAAACTATTTCTCACCTGTACCTAATGTCATCTGAACCAAATATTATGCAATGAGAATTTATCCTTGTCACTCAGAAGTCTTTTAAATATGTTGGTTAACCAGTGCAACATTTCGTTCTATAAACATACTGATTTGCCTGTTCTGTATATGTTGAAACTTGGGCTAGTTTTAATTTTTTGATATTATTCTTAACGCTGCAGTAATATGCTTTTACACAAATATTTCTCTACATCTGTGAAAATTTCTATGCCTTAAGGTGAAATTTCTGACTTGAAATATAAGAACATTTTAAAGATTGGTATTATAAGTTACCAATTTGTTTTTAGAAAAGTTGCAGTGGTTTGTCCTCTTGCTGTCAGTATGAGCTTGTCTCTGTTACTGTATCTTCATGCTTCATATTTTAATTTCTACTTTTTAAAATATTGATAGCAGCAAACACTCTTAAAGTGTTTATTCACTATTTGTTTTTCTTCCATACAGTGGTTATATATTCCCATTGCCTGTTTTGCTGTTATAGTGTTAACCGATTTTTATTGATTTACAGAACTTTTTATATATAATGTTATTTTATATAATTCAGTATAGCATGTTAACATATTCTACTTTTATTTTTTATGAAGTGTGTGGCATATATTTTTATGTTTTATGGATTCAAGGATATCACTCAACATTAAAAAAGAAATTTTTTGGCAGGGCATGGTGGCTCACACCGGCACTTTGGAGGCCAAGGCGGACTGCTTGAACCCAGGAGTCCGAGACCAGCCTGGGCAGCATAGCAAGACCTCATCTCTAAAAAAAAAAAATTAAAAATTTAGCAGAGCATGGTAGCAAGTGCCTATAGGGCCAGCTACTTGACAAGCTAAGGAGGGAGAATTTTTTGAGTCCAGGAGATTGAGACTGTGGTTAACTGTGATTGTGCCCCTGCACTCCAGCCTGGGTGACAGAGTGAGATCCTCGACACGAAACAAAATGAAACAAAATTCACAACTTTTGTTAATAAAGAGCTTCCTCTACTATGGTAGAGAGAGCACAGATTTTTTTTTTCTTTGCCTTCTAAGAACACATTGATTCATTATTCTGCCTCTTGTAATACCAAGATATTCCATGGTATAGACACACACTGGCCAACCATTTTTAACCTATGTATGAAATTTTTAGGATGTATCTAATTGTAATTATCTCTGAAAACTAAAAAAATCGGTGAAATGTTTCTTCTACAATCTATCCAACATACAAAATTACCCATAGAGATTATTCAAATAAATAATGTAATGATGTTGATAGCAATATAGTAGCATTCATTTCCTTCTTTCTTTCTTTCCTTCTTTCTTTCCTTCTTTCTTTCCTTCTTTCTTTCTTTCCTTCTTTCTTTCTTTCCTTCTTTCTTTCTTTCCTTCTTTCTTTCTTTCTTTCTTTCTTTCTTTCTTTCTTTCTTTCTTTCCTTCTTTCTTTCTTTCCTTCTTTCTTTCTTTCCTTCCTTCCTTCCTTCCTTCCTTCCTTCCTTCCTTCCTTCCTTCCTTCCTTCCTTCCTTCCTTCCTTCTTTCTTTCTTTCTTTCTTTCTTTCTTTCTTTCTTTCTTTCTTTCTTTCTTTCTTTCTTTCTTTCTTTCTTTCGAGTCTCACTCCATCACCCAGGCTGGAGTGCAGTAGCACGCTCACGGCCACCCCAGCGTTGACCTCTGGGCTCAGGCGATCCTTCTGCTTTAGCCTTCCAAGTTAGCTGGAACTAGAGGCGCATGCTACCTTGCCCAGCTAATTTTTTGATTTATTGTAAGATGTGGTCTCTCCAAGTTGCCCAGGCTGTTCTCTAACCCATTGGCCCAGGCAATCTCCTCACCTCGTCCTCCCAAAGTGCTGGGATTACAGGCTTGAACCACCATGCCCGGTCTGATTAGTTTTTTTATGTTTATAGACTGTCATACATATATGACATATCGAGAGATTATACATACTTGAATCATATATTTCGAATATATATATACATATATATAAATATTGTATATATAAATCTACATGCAAACGTATAATCTACAAGGTACCATGCTACACATTGTGGATAAAGAAACTGAAACTCTTTAAAACTCCACAGCTGGGAGGTAATAGAACCGATGGTGGACCTCAGCCCTGTCTGCCCTCAGACAGCAATCCTCCTGTTTCTCAATGCTGAACCCTCTAAAATAACAATGCATAGAGCCCCTGGGCAACAGATTTCACTTTTGGAATCAATTTGAATATATGATGGTAAACAAAACAACTTTTGCTTTTTGCTACCTTTTGGTTAGATTCAGGCACCAAACAGGACACGTCTTTGTGACGCTCTAAGAATTCTTCGAATTCTTCATCACTAATTATAAATCTTTCAGCTTCTCTTAGAGCATCTTTTCCAGAATTTTCACCCTCAATTAAGAGGCATTGGAACACCTGAAAGACAAGGGTAGTTTTGTTTTGTAGAGAGTCTTTCATCATTTTTTTCCCCAAACCCAACTTCCCCTGATCCAACTTCATTTCTTCTAAGCAAAGAAGACTGTAAAACTAAGGAAAATTCTACAAAGACATTATTTTGGGGAAATGAAAGCTAGTCCTGAAATTTAGGAATATGGTGTTAGAAACACAAACATTTTTAAAGTATAGATTTTCAAAAACTAGTCTACATTATATTTGATCTAGTTTTATAATCTTATATTTTTAGACTACAAAATAATGACTGTTTACTAAAGGAAATATGGACTATCAAAGAGCATAAAAAAGGAGTAATTATTTATAATCCCAAGACCAAGAAAAACATATTTTAAAAAAGTTATTGTTTCTGCTGATGTTTAATATATCCCTATTAAGGACTCTAGAATATGCTTATTCTTCACGTAATATATAGGAACAATTTTCCAAAACTGTTAATATGGTTTTTCAGCACTTTTTAAAGTAAACAATGCGTCTCTCTGTGTGTGAGTGTGTATAATTTATTATTCCACAAGTATTTACCATCATTTTAAAAGATCTCAGTCCTGGGAAGGCAGGCAACTAAATGACTTGCCCGGCTGGGCATGGAGGCTCAGCCTGTAATTCCAGTACTTTGGGAGACTGAGGCAAGAGGATTGCCTGAGCCCGGGAGTTTGAGACCAGCCTGGACAACTTGGTGAGACCTTGTCTCTATAATAAATCAAAAAATTAGCCAGGCATGGTAGCGTGAGCCTGTAGTTCCGGCTACTTGGAAGGCTGAGGCGGAAGGATCACCTAAGCCCAGCAAGTGGAGGCAGCGGTGGCTGTGAGCGTGCCACTGCACTCTAGCCTGTGTGACAGAGTGAGATTCCAACTCCAAAAAATAAAAATAAATAACATGCCCAAGGTGACAAAGAGTAACACTAATCCCAAACAGATCCAGAACAGAGTCCAAGTCAAAGAGTTTTTATGGAAAGGTTATTTTACATAGAATTTCATCAATGCCATCTTTTGAACTACTCATATACTGCTATAGTCAGATGAGAATGAATTGTGAAATGCCTTGAACTTTGCCTTCTTTGCTTTTTGTTTCTCCCCTTCTTCTTGCTATTTGCTTTCATGGCGTCTTTCTCAACATACTGTGAGCATCCAGGGAAGGGCTGTCACTCATCCCTGTGACCACAGTCCCCAAGACCTGTCTAGGCTCAGGGCAAGGAGAGTCCTGGCAGGGAGGGTGTGCCTTCCAGGAATGCTTGAATTGTGAGTGGACTTGGCCATCAGAGGGGTGAAGACACACATCACAGGCATTTTCTCCCAGGGACTTTGATTTCAGAATCAACCAGCTAGAATGGAAGGGCCTCTGTAGGAGAAAACCAGGCCAAAGGAATTGAAAAGAGAGTGGCAGCAGGGTGGGACTGATGGGGAGGAGTGGGAGAATTCCCCTCTGATGCTGCTAGAGCAAGTCCACAGGTAGCAACAAAACTTCCCATTGACCAATACGCCTGAGGAGTCAGTCCCATGCATAGTCAGTAATGTTGTCCCGGGCATGTGAGGGCATGTTACTGGTGGCACTTGCAGACCTGCAGCCTCATAGTGGAAGAGGCAGCCTCAGGAAACCAGGTGCTGAGCCACATGAATGAGGACCAGCACCTGATCTGGGGCATCAATTTACGTCAATTAGCAGCCTGCAGACACAAGGATCTGGTGAGAAAATGGTTTTCCAAACAGGCAGCAGCCAACCTCCTTCCACCAAAAAAGTCAGGATCTTAAAACAGCCAACCTGGAGTGAGTCAGGCAAGTGGAAGCCAGGGTAGGGGTCAAAAGAAGAGCCATGAATTGGAGAAAACTAAAGCTGTGAGAAAAAATTACAAATAAATCTGAAAAAAAAAGTAGAAGAGAGAGAAAAGAGAGAAGAGGAGAGTTGGAGTCTCACTCTGTCGCCCAGACTGGAGTGCAGTGGCATGCTCCCGGCCACTGCAGCCTCTACCTGCTGGACTCTGGTCATCCTTCCACCTCAGCCTTCCCAGTAGCTGGAACTACAGGCACGTGCTACCATGCCTGGCTAATTTTTGATTTATTGTAGAGATGAGGTCTCACCAAGTTGCCCAGGCGGGTCTCGAACCCGCGGGCTCAGGCAATCCACTCACCTCAGCCTCCCAAAGCGCGGCATTATAGGCTGAGCCACCGAGCCCAGCTTAGGAGGAAAATTAACGTCTTTTAAAACTTGAATTCACAGTAATTTACGAGTGTCTGCACATTGTGGTTGCTGTATATAATGAGTTGGCTGGCATGTATGTGAACCTTAGACTTTTAGCAGCTGGCAGTGATGCCAGGCCCAAAGCATGAATTTGGGAATAAAGGTACTATTTCGCTACAACTTGGGGATAACTTTATCCCTAATGTCTTCTAATAACACAATGCATCAGAATTATGAAGAACATATATCCATCCATAAATAAGCCAAAAGCATTAAGAATAAATTTAGGCTTTATGTGAACATATTCTTAAAAACATTTCCAAGTGCTTAGCGTATTCCTTGACTTTTAGCCAAGGGAATCAGGTTCAGTTTCCAGAAAGGGAGATTGTGGCAAAAAAAAAGAAAAAAAAAAAGAGAAAAAAGTTTAGTTGCAAATTTAACAGAGTTAAAAGACGAAGGACCTGACTTTTAGGCTGGCTTCATAGGTCAAGAGTTCTTTGTATCAGTATTGTTTCTGGCATTATTGAAAAAAAAGTCTCTCTGAAATTTTTCCTTGTAGGAAATCAACAAAGGTGACCTTGTGTACTTACTTTCCAGCGGACAGGGTTTAGCGCCTTAATCTGTTCGTTCATGTCCTCTCCCACATTGAATCGATTAATGACAGAATTTATCTTGAAAGCAACTCTATAATCTCTACACCATGTCCTCAGTTTTTGAAGTTTTTCCACATGATTCTTGTTTCCTTGACCACGGCCAATAAGGACATTGACTTGCTCTTCAAAGCTGTCACAGGAGATGGCAAGAATGTCCAAATATTCACCTGAGAAAAAATGATCATCTTTAACTTTGTATCCAAGGACCAAGCCCTTCAGGCTATTAATATCTCTTCTAAAACATGTTTTGTTTGCATCTATATTTTAAAATTTTAAAAGACACTTTTCCTCATACTCACAAATCTCACTGAAATATTAATTACACTTTGTTTCTATGTAAAATAAACTTGTAGAAACATATATGTGTAATAAAATTATGAAAATACATACAGGTGATTGTTCTAAAACTCTGCACATGTATGCATATGAGCACTTTACTAACATATTTAAATGAGATTTTTTTCACTCATTCCTGTATAAAAGTTATATAATTTCTGAAGCAGGTAGTTATATTTTGGAGGCCTCTAAACTTATCTATGAACAATTACAGAATTATAGGTTTACTTCTATTTTTTCCCATCACACAGATAAAATTGCTCTGTAGAAGGTTTCTAATATTTCTGCCAAGTTCATTGACTTCTTGACATCTCCTGTATATTAATCACCTAAATATTTACAGAGACCCTATACTATGTCAGGTATAACTGAATTAGATGCCAAGAAAACTGAGATAAAGGGAAGTCTGGTGTAGGAGGTGATATAAATACTTCTCTGCAATGTGAACCCTGAGGAGCTTGATAGTGGGTCCTTTCTGGAGCACAGAAAGTGTTCAAAAGTATCTGTATTTTGGTTTTGTCCATTGGTCTCTGTAACATCAGTTCCTGCTCTACCTTGCTCCTTCGTTCTTTTTTTGTTTGTTTTTTTTCCTGCTTCGTACTATCTACTTATCTTGTAAGAAAAGGCATACTCTATGGCTGAGTTACTCCTTGCAGTCGATGAAGTCTTCCTAGTTTTGTGACTTTTTAGAGTTGACTCCTTATCCATAAAACTATTTTCAATTTATAGAAGTCAGTAGTTGCAAAAACTCTCTAAGACTACAAAAAGAGTAATTTTAACTCCTATTTTGGGGCTAATTTTATTTTAGCCATAAGTAACATATGCCCCCAAAGCATCTAACACAAACTGAAATTAGAATAAGGCAAGTGTTCATTATTTAAAATAACTCAAACTATTCTAAAAATTAATCTTAAATAAATTTCTAATGGTATATCACATTGGGAAAAGGCAGATAACTAAACACATGATCTGTAAGCAAACTAGAAACAAAATTCAAAGCCAAAAATATAGAGACCTATCAGTTATATTAAAGCCTTGGTCAAGTTGATTTCCAAGTCAACTGAGAATCTTTGAGCCAATTACTATATTCTACCTCCTCTCCCACTTTTGCCGTTTGTCTATAACCTTCCTCCTGGTCTCGGTTTTTCTTGTCAAAGTTCTTATGAAGAAAGATTTAATGGAGCAGATCTCTTTGCTCAGTCCCTGCATCTTTCCAGGAGAGCCTGGAGCTGTGATGAAATCTTGGCTAATCCCTGAATATGTGGTTGCTAAAATAGTCTACATATTGCTAATTAGTGATGTGTGTAAGTCTGGACAGTTTGAATCAACTTGTCAAGAATTGTCAGGATTGTTTAGCGAGATTCATAAAGTCCTTGGTTGCATTGTGGGGGTCCTGAGTTTCAGTTCTTATGTCTGGTTGCATAACATGTGCCTAAATGACCAGCCCTGCATGAAGGCTTCACACCCTAAGACTCAAATGATCCTTCCTGAGCCAAGGCATTCCAAATAGGCCCCTGGAGTTCACTGCTAGAGAGAAAGTACAACCTGTGTGTCTCGGGATAGAAAAGGACTCAGAAGTCTGTGTTGGACCTCTCTGGACTCTGGTGATGCATATATTCACCTTGCTGTCTTTGCTCTGTAACCTTTGCTCTAATAAACTCTAGCCCTGAGTATAACGACTGCTGAGTGATGGAAGTTCTTCTAGCAAATTACCACGCATTTGGGGGCTCTGAAACAGCTTTTTTCAGTCAAGCACAAAAATCCATCCCTGGCCTGTTAAACCACAGGTAAAATTAGAGACTTATAGGCCAGAAAGGCATACATATTCATATGCTTGTTTCTTACAACATCTAAAACTATTTCATATTGAAAATATTTGTAATGGGGAGATTTAACATATTATAGAATGTAGATCTGTAATGTATCTGTAATAATTTGAAGTTCTGGAAAATTCCCACATCTCACAAAAATCAATAAAGCACATAGTTAGCTGGCCCACCATCTACTATGAATAGGGCACGATGTTTCTCATTCTCCATAGTCTTCACACTTTCCTGTTGCCTCCCTGCTGCTGATCGGTTTTCTTATATGCTTCCAAATTTGCTAATTTACACCATCTTTCCCATGTTAGCACGTGAGTTTTTGACCCTGAAGTGCAGGGATCCTCCTGCCTCTGCTGTGCATACCACACAGACACCATCCTAGCAGGAGAGCACTGCGGGAAGCACACTTCAAAAACTGTACCAACTAGTCTCCATCACATGGTTTCCTCAACCCCTTTTCTTGCCTGTCTGAAAGGGCAAGAAAAGGGGTTGAGGAAACCATGTGATGGAGACTAGTTGGTCTGGTTTCCAAACTCACTTTGAACCTATGACCTTTTGTTTCACTGAGTGACTGCCATCACTAAGGTTTTGGTTTTAACACATTGCCTTGTAGTCTATCAGATTCACCTTCACCTGACTCTTTGAATCTTCTCATCTGTTTAACCTTTATCAGATGGACTGTTCAACCCACATACACAACCTCCCTTCCCCCACATGTCCATGTCTGCACTGAGTTAGATGGGGTATTTCATCAGCGATATCTCAGCAAAATCCTCAACAGATTATAAATATGTTTTCTCTCTGACTTCAAATCTGAGACAACTCATACAAACCAAGAATAAGAATTGTACTATAAGAGTTAGGTTATAACTGTCTCCTAATCTACAGTACATGGTAATACGAGCCAACATTTCCCAAGTTCTACTAAGTTCCAGGTACCACTCTAAGGGCATTACTTATACAGAAAACTTCACTGTGAGGAATCACAGCACTCTTAGGCTCTTAGTGGTTCTTAGTCCTGGCTAAAAATCTCTGGGAGACCCTCACATCAACCAATCCACATATCAGGAGGTTCTGATCTAATTAGTCATGGGTCCAGTTCCAAAAGAGACATTTGATTATAAAGGTGCAAAATGTGTTAATTTTTCTCGCTGTTGTCTAAACTAAAGCTATAGGTCTTATACTTGCTAAACCGAAATGTACGGGATAGTCGCACCACTAATGCTTTCTGCTATTTATCTTGCCAAGCATGTTTACTTAGCAACCTACAGAACTAAAACTGCTACATCACTGTGCACAGCTTGAAAAGTGATTAGAACAAGCAAGATGTGTTTTTCCTCCCTTCCAATGCCTCAGCAGGTCTGGCTGAAGTCCCAGGGTGGAAGGAAATAACAGAAACCAATGATAATAGTAGCGACAGCTTCAACGCCATCCCTCAGAACTCACCGTAATTCTGGAACCACCTCTCCCGGATCAGGCTTCCGTTGCTCACAATGCTCACGCTTGGCAGCTGGAGGTCCACTTTGCAGAACTTCACCAACTTGCCCAGATATTCTCCCCGGTCGTGGATGAATGGCTCTCCGCCCGAAAAGTTGATCTTCTCCATACCTGTGAGAGATAAACCATGGATTTTCCCACTTCACAAATACCCATCATTATTTTAATGGCAAAAGTAATGTTTTCTTAATGTAAAAAAAAAAAAGTAAAATAACATTTTCTCACTATCCTCCCCTCCCCTAATCCTAGTTTCCAGCATTCAACCCACCCTATGGGAATAGAATGTGCTTAATTCAGGGTCTAGCCAGGAAAAAAAAATCACTTGAAGATTTTTTTTGTTTGTATGTTTCTATTTTAAAATAGATGCACTTGGATGTAGGGAATTAGTGACATAGATGAATAGAACTGCCGAACGGTACAATGAAGCAGCACAGAGATTTGCAAAGCAGAAAGTCACTTCTCCCAGGGTGTGATGTGACTGTTCGTGGGTCAGCTCCCAACCTGGGAATCACATTCCTCATCACTCTGGGGTTCCCTCTCCTTCTCCTTCTGCTACCTATTGTCTTGGATTCCGTGTCTTCCTCTCCCTTGGGCTACTCCCTTATTTTGAAAAATTCCTTTATGAGCTTCCTGGAAAAAAAAATGTAAGAATTGAATTAAAGTGAAGACTTGTATGCCTCAAAATGCATTTGTGGTTAATAGTTTGGTCAGGTATGGTATTCTAGGTGAAATTATTTTTCACTCAGAATTTTAAGGGCATTATTTTTGTTGTTTTTCAGGTTGTTTTTGTTTTTCTTCAGAGACAAAGTTTCACTCTATCACCCAGGCTGGAGCACAGTAGTGGGATCATAGCTTACTGTAGCCTCAAACTTCTGGGCTCAAGTAATCCTTCTGCTTCAACCTCATCAGTAGCTTGGGATGCAAGCATGCACCACCCCACCCAGCTAATTTTACTTTTTGTTGTGACGAGGTCTCACTAATGTTGCCCAGGCTGGTCTTGAACTCTTGGCTCAAGTGATCCTCCCACCTCGGCCATCTAAAGTGCTGGGCTTATGGGCGTGAACCACCATGTCTGGCTGTCTTCTTGGTTTTAATGTTGTTATTGAGAAATCTGATAACACTCTCACTTATAATCTTTTGTAAGTGCATGGCTTTTTTCACTCTCCAGAAACTTTCTAATATTTTGAAATGTCAAGACGATATGCCTTAGGAATTTCTATTCATTGGTCCCTTGGAAGGCCTTCATTTCAAAACACAGTTTTAAAAAAAAAATTATTATTACAGAAAGTTTTCTTATACTGTTTTTTTAAATAATTCCCACATCTTCTCAACTTTTCACTTTTCTCTCTTTCTGGAAATTCCATGACTGGCATTTTGAAGTTTCTGGATTTAATCACTGTTTTAACATTTTCTTTCCTATTGTTTATGCTGTTCCTTTTGTCTTATTTTTTTCAGACTTTACCCTTTAGTCTTTCTATTAACATTTTAATTTTAGAAAACCCATTTTTAGTTCTTCAGACTTCTTCATATTCTAGCTATTCCTTTTTTTAGCATTCTATGCTTGTTTTATAGATGCAATTCTTTGTCTTATCTTCCTGCATTTACTAATTATAATTTCTTTTGAAGTTTTATTCTTCCTGTATTCTTTCTGATTTTTTTTTTTTTTAGTGTCTGCCTTTTCTTTTGATGTTTTTATTTTCCATTCCTATTTTAGTATGGCACAAAATAGCTGAATGGAATTTATTTTATGAAGAGAGGGGCTGGTTAAAAAGAGGGTTTTACAACAGAGTGACAGAGAGGTAAGCTGGTTTATTCATTGGATAATCCTTAAAGTCCAGTATCCTTGGTCTTTACTCTGGGGCTATTTTGTTTTCCCAGAGAAGAACATTTGCCTCCTCTCTGTGTGCTAAATGAGGGGAGACTCCTCCAAACCTGGAATTATCTTTTGGAGAATGGGTTCCCTGTAGTATGGGCTTTGCTTGCTAGGTAAGTGTTCTAGGAAACCATTGACATCAGTGTACCAACTAGCATTGTTATGAGAGGCTGTGTTCAGCTTCAATGAGTTTTTTTTTGTTTTTTTGTTTTTTTTTTTGAGATTCTTTCAGTGTGTTTGCCCATTTCATGATGGGTGATTTAAGAATGCACCTGCCAAACCGTGCTGAATGTTCAACAATTTTTGATCAAAAAGAGTGTGACTGTGATGCCCTATCTCCCATTTACTTGATTTCACCCTGAGCAACTTCTTTTTCTTTTTCCAGATTAAAACAAAAAGTCTTCAAAGGGAAATGTTTGCTGATGTGGAAGAGGTGAAACAAAAAAAAAATGGCAAAAACACTAAAAGACATCAAGATTGATGCATTCAAAATGAGCAGTGAAAAAAGCATCTTTATAGGTGTATTACATTAAATGAAGAGTACTTTGAAAATGACTGAAGTTTAAATATGTGAGAATAAATACACAATTTTTAATAAATACATTCTGGGTTTTTTTTGGAGGGGTCTCCCTGCTTACAGGGCAGACCTGACCTAATTCCTCAATTTTCATCTGGTGTTTTCTCCTCTTCCCCACAGTACTTAGAATCTCTTAGTGCACAGTCCGTGGTGGCCAGATTCTTCAGAAGACAAATCTGTCCCCTGTTGGAATTGGGGAGGGTCCTTGTCTGAAAGCAGTAGATCAGCTTCCAGCCCATTGCCTCATTCCTGCCTCACACCAGTCTTCTGTGTGAGATAATGATGTCAATTTCTGAAATGCCCTGTGTCCTAGGGAACAATCTGGTGAGTTTCTTGTAGGCATTCTCTTGCAGACACATGTTTAAGCTGTCTTTATGCCATAAATTGGTCATATCAACTATGTGTTGATTTCTTTGTGGGTTAATTCCCTGCTTTCTATGATCTTACTGTAATTTTAGTGGAGTGCAAGAGAGATGGGAGGAAATGAAGATAAATATGCCATACTTAACTAGAAGACCCCAAATAACTTGAAATTCAGATGTCTATACAGTGAATTATCCATTTCTAGTATTATCCATTTCTAGTTCGATTCAGTTCAATGCAGTTCACTGAATCTTTATTAAATGCTCTGTGCTATGGCCATATCATAGTGGGTCATTTCCAGAAAGAACCTTTATCAGTGAGCAACTTATTCCACAAAATGAAATTTTAAATGCCCATTTTACAGTGCCAAAGTAGAAAGAGACGGTGTGCTCAGATTAGAAGATGAGTAACTGCTGGTTAAAAACATGTAGAAGAAAGGAAAGACCGTGACAGGTCACAGCAATGGAAGCAGACAGTAGAATGTGAAACCAAAGAAACAAGCTTCAGACCCTGTAAGAATCAGATACAAATTTAATCACAAAAAAATAAAATAATTAGGAGTACCAGCTAGAATAGCAAGAGGTCCAAGGTACAACAGCGAAATAAATACAGAGACATCCAGACAAACACCATAACCTTCCCTGAGAATATCATTTACTAACCTATCCATTCAATAAACTTTGTACCTGGTAAGTACCAAATGCTATGCTTGGAGATTTAATTTGTTTAAACTCACTGCAATATAGTTTGTTTTTTTTTTTAAATGCTGTCTTGAACTAGTTTTGAAACCCTGGTAGAGGCTGGTCAGATCCTCTTTTTGAGCAGACAATTAAGTTGACCCCACCCCACTCCAAGCCATCTCTTCTATAGGACTCTTACAACTGGGCCACTGTTCACTAATCTATTCATCCCAGGACCTGGTATCAGACAACCAGAGACAGCCCTTGTACTCTAGAATCCATTGAAATGGTCCCCCCACTCGCCACCCCATACCTTGCGGCCATCCTGGGGGCTTTCTGTGTGGCCCTGGGTAGCATGCTGTGCTTACTCCAAGGAACTGGAAATCACAAAACTGTAAAGCTCTTTCTGGCCTCTTGATCTGCGTCTACCCTCACCATATCTCACCTAAGTTAGGGCACTCACTTAATCCTTAAAATAATCCATGGAGAAAGGAATTATCTGGTTTTCAGTTGCAGGAATTGGGACGAGAAAGGTTAAATAAGACCATAAGGCTAGAAGGGGATACCAGCCCAGGCTCCAAAGCCTTGAATCTTACAGTAGAATTGCCCTATATCCTAGTTTGCCCAGAACAGTTTTGGTTTATGGTAGACCAAATAACACCTGTTAGTTATTTTTATCACCCCCTTTCATTGGCAGATGCATGTCTACACTTGAATAGCTCGAAATTATATCATTTCCCTATTTATAATGCATCATGCTGGAAGGCTGCTTGAGTGACAGTTGCCAAAAAACTGCCAGCTAAGAAGTATACTGAAGTAGCAAAAGACACACTGGAGAAAGTAAGATAGTGTACTGGACGTTAGCATAGAACTGGGTACAAGTTTGAGGAGCTTGTTTATAAGGGATGAAAGAATGAAAAAACTGAAGGAATAGGATTTGGAGGCATAGCTAAGGTTTTAGACAAGGGGCAATTGATTCACAATGGTATTCATGTATACCAGTGATCACTTTACAGCCCAGATAGAAAACTGATGCTCATTATATTTACTTGTGTCCAGTGTTCTCTACTTAAAAGATATTTTAGAAGCATCTTCATACCGAATAATACCTTTTAATTTTAAATATAATGTATAATAAAGTACATTGACATTTTAATTTGAATGTAAGTTTACATTTTTAATCACCACCAAATAGATTTTCCTCCATTATCCAAAAGTTTCTCTTATAGAAAACACAACCTCTGCTGTCCTGTATTTTAATTAACTTTGATTTTATTTACTTAAACTGAGAGGCCATCATAAAAAAGTATTAACTACAATTATTTGTACTAGTTTATTATTTGTGAAAAAACATGAATATTCACTTATTTGAGCTGTATACCAACTTTTTGGGTAGATGTATCAGTTATCATTATGATCTACAATTTAGAGATTCTGAAACTGATATTCAGAAAAATGTATTGACAAATCTAGACCAGGAACTCAAACTTTGGCTTTTTGAATGAAGACTACACGTTCTTTTCACCACCAGACCTCTATTCATTCATTCATTCATGCATACATTTATTCTTTTATTTAAAAGTATATTAAGCCTCTATTGTATTCTATATATTTTGCTAGACCCAGAGACCTACAGAAAGGTAAAATGCAATCTTGAAACTCAAACTTTTTGTGAATCCAGATTATAAAAACAAAAATACTAACAAAACAAAGCTCAGTGGAACAATTTAAAAAGTGCCGCAATACCAATTTGTAGCAAGTACCACAAGATCGTAAATGAAGGGCAGAGGGTTTGTTTTGGTTTTCTTTTGTTTGTTTGTTTGTTTGTTTTTTAGTTGGAGTCTCACTCTGTCTCCCAAACTGGAATGCAGTGGCACACTCATGGCCACCCCAGCTCTGCCTGAAGAGGATCAAGGACACTTCTATGGAGCCTGAATGTTTGCCAACAGAGACTTGGGGACAAACTTTCTAAGAAGAGACAACAATATGACCCAGTCAGGTGTTTGGGGAGGATGAGTGTTCAGGATGGGTCTACAACAGAGGCGACCAAAGGCATCAGTGTAGAGGATGCTAAAGGCAACCATGAGCTTGCTAAAGGCTTTGAAAGGATGCTCACAAGATTTTTTTTTATAAATCATGTAAGATAGTTAGGTGGGGAGATAAATGATCAAAACTACATTTTAATAAGATAATGAGATAAATTATGATAATCTTGGTGAGAAATAATGAGAATTTGAGCTAAACCATACTGAGACTAGCAAGTCGGGGTCTTTTACTTGAGAGATGAGCTGTAGATAACTAGGCGAACATAGCAGAACAAAGTTAGACCCAATAAAGTGCACACTGTATGATTTCATGTACATAAAGTACAGAATCAGGCAAAATTGATATCTATGTTAAAAAACCAGTTGGTGATTACACGTGGGGGACAGGGTAGTGGTTGGAATGCAGCGTGCACTTCTGGATGATAATGTTGCCTTCTCTCTGGACCTTCCAGCTGTTTACTGGCGTGCTCACTTTGTGAAATTCATGGAGCTTTACCCAGGATGTGTGCAATTTTGTGCACATATACTATGCTTCAGTTATACTGTTAAGTAAGGAGGAAAATAATTTACTATGCTGCTGGAGTTACTAGCTGAGGAAATTCTCTAAGAAAGACAGAAGGACAAAGACCCAAGAAAGAATATATCTGGAGTGGAAGTTTAGTTCAAATTTTACATGCTGAATTTTCTCTAAGATGCCTGCAAGTTATTGATGTGATGATATTTAATAAGCACATCTTGAGAGAAAATCATTTACAGATTTGTTAAAAATAATTTTTAAGTTTTATATTAAAAGCACATAATTCAACATAAAAAATAAAAGATTCAAATATTGCTGTTCTTATGTCAAATAATTGCTTTTGTTTTCAACTTAAAATAATTATTTCTGGAAAATTAAAATCCATTGGTGCTTTAGACAAACCCAGAAAGAGGCACAATCTTCCTAAACGGTCTCTGTCCAAACACCAGGCAGAACAGGGACCTGCACTTTGCATAGACCTCTCCTCACAAGTGGCGGGAGGGATGGGCTTACTCCATCAACTCCCCACTCTAGGACAACTCTGTGCTTTAGAAAGCCTAAGCACCCATGCTAAAATTTACCAAACCATTTTCTCATAGGACACACTCACTGTGCAATGGGAAACGGTGACTTAGGGCTCTGAATGAGCTCACCAGCCTGTGTGTGTCCTTCCCCCACTTTTTTTTTTTTTTTGAGTTGGAATCTCACTCGGTCGCCCAGTCTGGAGTGCAGTGGCCGCTCCCGGCCACCGCAGCCTCGACCTGCTGGGCTCCGGCGATCCGTCCGCCTCAGTCTTCCAGGTAGCTGGAATTACAGGCGCGCACTACCACACCTGGCTAATTTTTTTATTTATTGTAGAGATGAGATCTCACCACGTTGCCCAGGTGGGTCTCAAACCCGCGGGCTCAGGCCATCCACTCACCTCAGCCTCCCAAGGCGCGGGATTACAGGCTGAGTCACCGAGCCCGGCTCTCCCCCCACTTTTCCCTTACCCTCCTCTCCTGCGGTTGAGAATCCTGGTTTCTGCCTGTGGCTAGGGACTCACCAGCTTTCTTTAGCAAACTCAGTCCCCTCTTAGCCTCCTCGAGGGGCAGCACGAAGGACGTTTTGGCCGTGTGGAAACAGAAGCCGCATTTATAGTTGCACTGGCGAGTGAAGTGGTAGTTGACGCTGGTGGGGGTGGTGGGCACATAGATGTCCTCTCCCTCTTCTTCCTCAGCTTCATCTGGCTCTCCCCTGACCTGCTGCCGCTGTGCCCTTGTGGCTCCTCGCAACCAGAATACTGCCTTCAACCAGCAGAACAGTGGCACCAGACGCCCCCACAAAGAGCTCAGAGGCTGCCTGAACAGGCTCAGCGTCTTCCCAGCAAAAGCAATGGGCGTGAGCATCCACATGGTGGCCAGAAGCCCAGAAGTGTCCCTGCACCCGGGAGACTCACTTTATATAGGATGCAAATCACCAGTCTCCAAGCAACCTGTCACCGGGAAGGAGAGACACACCTTCTTTGCCTAACTTTCAGCTGAGTTAGTTTCGATTTTTCTACTTATGAAAATGAAACTTGGAACAGGGCCAAGACTGAAGACTCCAATCGGGGCCAGCCTGCTGGCTTTCTCAGCCTCACCGTTTGCCTCAGTGGTCCACTTGTAGAATAACAGTCTTCTTAACTTGATGCAGTTTCAGATAAAGATACCAACATCTATCAATATCTCTATATCTGGTAGAAATATAGGTACATAAACACAGCACCCTGTTTACTTGTCACATTACTCATTCTTGACATACCAAGTAAGTTTCTACTGATCATCTTTCACATAAGGGGCCCTTAGGTGAAGTGTGTTATAAAATCCAAGTAATAAACAGACTTTGTCCTTGGAGGAGGAGTGTAGACTTGTTAGCCTCAGAGCCCTCTTTCGGGTTGCAGTAAAAAGGAATAGGGGCCTAATGAAATGTATGTATTCTTCATTCCTTAGTTATTCAGCTTCATTTATGCGTGTGCAGTGTTAAAATGTAGACATTAGCCGGGCTCGGTGGCTCAGCCTGTCATCCCGCGTCTTTGGGAGGCTGAGGTGAGTGGATTGCCTGAGCCTGCGGGTTCGAGACCCGCCTGGGCAGCGAGACCTCATCTCTACAATAAATCAAAAAATCAACCGGGCGTGGTAGCGCATGCCTGTAATTCCGGCTACTTGGAAGGCTGAGGCGGAAGGATCGCCGGAGCCCAGCAGACGAGGTTGCGGTGGCCGGGAGCGGACCCTGCACTCCAGTCTGGGCGACAGAGTAAGACTCCAACTGAAAAAAAAAAAAAAATGTAGACATTTATACTATATTAGTTTTGATAGATATGTTTACCTATAAAAATCAAATGTTTTTCTAAGATGCTTCCTAATTGACTAAAATTACTGTGACTCATCATTTAGCTATTTTTACACTTTTCTTAGAAGGTATCGTTGACTTTTAGCCCTCTTTTGTCAGCATTGTGTGTGTGTGGGCTTATGCTTTTGTAAGACATGTAGAAAGTTGGAAGAGTCCCAGTGGCTAAGCTTCTGGAGCCACAAAACCATGTAGCGGTGTAACTTTGAGTAGTTGACTCTATTTATCTGGACTTCCATTCCCTCATCAGAAAAACTTATATCTCATGCAATTTTGTGCAGAGTGAAAAAGCTAATTTATATGAATAGCTCAGAACAGTGCTTGGCAATGGTAAGTGTTTAGTTAGCATTAACTACTGTTATTCTAAGTGTCATATTCTGAATGGAAACAGAACCACTTTCCTTTTGCTTCTGAATAACTTTCCTTTTACTTAAAAGGAAACCAAAAGCAAATTTTGCAAAACAGGAAGCATATGCCTTATAATTATCAATGCAACGATGCAATGATGAGTATGACCCAAGTTCTTGAAATCTACTTAGCTAAAAGTAGCTTAAATTCTCACACTATGATCTGGCTCAGTTGAGGAATATTTTTTTGCTAGAGCACATGAGTACAAAGAAATGAAACCAAGTCAGTTTATATTTCAAATCAATGACCAGACAAAGCACAGAAGGTAACAACACTACAGGCTTTTGAAGCAAAACATTGTAAGAGTTGGGTCCTAGTTCAGCCAAGGTTATTTAATTTTGGGCAAAAGTCTTCACATGCTTGATCCTTCTAATACATCTGGGAAATATGGATAATAATGTCCAACTCACCCAAGGCATTTTAAAGATTAATTGACATAATGTATATTGAGCAATCAGGGTAGGACCTGACATAAAACAGGAGAAATATATAGCATATTTGTAGTACTGTGTGCCAGGTACTGTGTTATACGTTGCATGTACCAACTTACTTTACAGTTGATACAACTTATGCCACACAAAGGGTAAAGATTGGAGATGGGATTTAACCACTTGCAATAATGCTCAAAACTGATAATTATTATCATATTATTTTATTATTTCTTTCTATGTCTACTCATCCAGTTTCATTTTTAAAATTCATTTATTAGGCAATAATTCTTTTATTTATTCTGCTTTTTCCTTCCTTCAATACATATTGAGAGCCTCATATAGATCAGATAAAAATATTTATGAATATGCAAAAATACAAATAAGTCAAAGAACTCACAAAAGTCAACAGTCAGCCTTGATATTCTTTGAACACTCTTTGAATATTCTTTGAACACTCATTACTTCACAATTTCTTTTTCCTCATCCATCTAATTGTAAACCTCAGGAGTGGTAGACTTTCTTTGAAATTTATTTAACTATAGAAACCAGATGCCTTAATGCAATGTGTATAGATCTTATAGTCATAAGTGCCAACTAAGGGCCTCCATAGATAACCAAAACCTATGAATTTGACTTTCAGACTGTGAACAAAAGTTCTGTGAAAAGGAATTTAGAGCAAAAAGACTTTATTCCAGTGAACAGTTTGCAAACTAGGAAGAGGCAGCCTTCAGTGTAAAATAAAGGTGCATTCCAAAGAACAAAGAAAAGGCTTGAATTTCATAGTAAAATTTCTTGCCTAAGTTCCCAGTCAAGTCCATTAAGTCACACATTGTACTCTGAGTTTCCGGAAAACCCAGCACTTTTTTCACTTTGGGATTTTCAGAACTCACCTGAGTGTACCTATCAGGGCTCTGCAATACCCACCATTAGGGTTGGCTATATCTACCAATCAGGACTCAGTTGAGTTGACCAATCAGACCTAAGCAAGTTTCAAGTCTTCATTCTCATAAATGGACCTGATTGGGAACCTGGACAGAACACTTTACAAAATAAAACCTGAGTCATCTCCTTATTCTCTGGAATGAACCTTCATTGTGTCTTCACAGTTTAAAAACTGTTCACAGGAATAAAATCTCTTTCCTCCAAATTTTGTTTCAGAGAACTTTTGTTCACATTTCTGGTGTCAGAGTGGGATTCAAAGTGACTCTTAACTCTCCTCCTAGTGCCCTCCTTAAAAAACACACCAGGGTGTACAAGAGCCTCTGTACTTGAGTTCAGTTATCTTCCGGGTGTCTGTTGGGAGTTCCTCAGGTAAACTGTCTCTAATTTAGACTTCTTATGCTAAGGTTATGGTCTCAGAGACATTATTTCTTCCCTGTAGGTCGTCTCCGTTTGGATCCTGGAGGGGAACTTCCCTGCCTACCCCAGGTTTGGGGGTAGCCTTCCCAGGCAGTTCCCTTCATCCTGACTCCACAGAGGACATTACCTGTTGGCCTTGGGTTTGGGAAGGTGCTCCTAGTCTCAGTCAGTTCCCACCATCCAAATCCAAAATGAAACATTTCCCGTTTGTCCCATGTTTAGGGGTGAGACCTTTCCAGTTGGACTCAGCTGGTCTCTAAGGTTTTGTAGGGATGCTTTCACGAAAGGCACCGGAAAAAATGCCCTTGTTGGGTCAGTGCAATGAGGAACCTCAGTTTTTAGTTTTTCCCTCCTGATTACCTGCCTTCTGGCACTCCTACTGGCTTTATAAACAAAGATAACAGCCAAGGGAGTTGTGATTAACTAAGTCTCTTAGCAAAAGTCACCCGGGATAATCTTAAACTTTATTGACCAAAATGGGACTCATTTGAAATTCTGAAACATACATATCTGCTAAAATACAATTAGAAGAACAAAAATGCGGAAACTCTTAAGGACAATGGGAAATCTTTTTCAATTGCAGTTTGAAAGTTCTAAATAGAATAAGAGGTTACTATTGCTTCTCTTAGATAAAATAATTCCATGTTGAGTTGAGCAGTTTAATGAAAGAAAACGAGAGGTTAGCACTTGGGAGGCTGAAACCAATGCTGTTAAAACATCTTAGACTCTTCCACTTCCACCTTACCTGATGTTGTCTATGTTCTGCAACTCTTTTATCATCTTTGCTTTATCCCTCACTCCCCCCTTCCTGGTTATTTTGAAAAGCTTTCTAACTTTTCTCTAGTCTCATCTATATCTTTTTGTCTTGTGAATTCCTGTGACTTCTGTTGCATTGGCATCCATTTTAATCCTCCTCTAGTGCACACAAATTGCTTCTTGGGAAAGCTTAAATTCTCTCTGTGTTTGAGATGTAAAGTTCCTACCCTGTTTTCTCTAAAATTTGGTAAGGGCTTTGGCCATGTGGGACAGATAAATTTCAGCCTGCTCCATTTAAGTAGACACTGTGTCAATCCAACTGTCCTATTGAACTAGTGAGTTTTACCTGACTCATAGCTGGGTTTTTATAATTAAAGCTAAAACATTTTAATATATGGCTGCCTATTTTGGTGTACATGTCTGTTTACACATTGTCTATGGTACCAAATTTTCCTCTAAATTAATAACACACAAATTAATCAGAAAAATATAATTTAACCTTAAGACTCTGACTTTTATGATTTTTGCCTGGCATGTAGTTGTATAAAAGTGTTGATAGAAAATTCAGCTTGGGATTATGGCTAGATTTGTTTGATGTATCATGAAATTTTCTAGGAATAATTGTTAAGAATGAGTGGATTGAGTGAATGTGGATGGGATAAAAGTTTGTAAATAAACTTTTAATGAGGGTTATGTTTTTCAATAGGCTTAATTAAGACAGTTTCTCAAATCTTTTTAGTAACTGTACTCTTAGAATTTGCCATCGATAGGTTTCCCAAGGACCAAATCCTAAAGTAAGCTTTTTTGATTTTGTAGAGATATTAAATGATTAAGTTTAATTAGTAGATCATATTGGAAGTATTGTCAAATGTGACAACACTTAAGTTATATTTGTGTAAATGTGCTATTAAAATGTATCCCACATTAAGTGAAGATCCTAAAATTCTGAGATGTAATGATATGTGTGAACAGTCATGATTGAGATTATGTTAAATGGTTGTGTGCTACAGAAATACCTAAATATACTTGTCAATTATAAACTCTCATCAGAGTTTTAACCATGGCTGTTCTGAGTTTTGTCATGTGCAGTTTTTG